AGTGATACGAATGTCGAGCAATGGATCAACCTGTTTGACGGCTATATCAGGTAGAACGCAACTAGTGGCATCAAGAGATAATATTGATGAAAAGTTCTTGGCAAGCAATTCAGCTTTGTCTTTAGGTGAGGTGACAAAGTCTGAACCATACAAAAGAGGTGGAATTACAGACTTGCCCTTATTATTGATACTATTAAAGATTCTCCAGAAGTCACGAGAGCCTAATTTTTGAGATGAAATACGAGATTTCATGATCTGAGAATAGCGAGCTTTGGCGTTAGACAAAACCTTTTTACAATGGTTCCTAGCAGTAATAAACAGATGTCTGTTTTCTGGAGAATTGTTTTGCTGATAGATATGGAAGTAATGGTTTCGATTGGCAATTGCAGCAGCACAATGTGAGGAAAACCATAGAGAAGAGTGAGGCTTGACCTGGAATCGTTGAGAGGGAATAAAGGATTCCATGCCAGCCTGAATCCACGAAGTTATGTAAGAAGCACATTTGTCAACAGGGAGACGAAAGATTTCTACCCAGGGGCTATCACGAAGAAAATCACAGAAAGAGTCCCAGTCAGCTTTAAGGTAGTTGTAAGATGCACGATGATAGGGGGATTCTAATGGTAAAGACGAATGAGATAATAGTTTTAGAGAGACCAAACCATGATCAGACGCACCTAAGGGTGAGTGTGAAGAAACTGAGCACTGACTAGGATCAGAAGTCAAATAAAATGATACTCAAGACATAAGTCGAGTAGAGAAGGTAAATGATTCGGGTTGTCTGGAAAGCAAGTTGGAAAGTTGACTATTAAATAGTAACTCAAATAGTATTTGAGTTAGGGATTGAGAAAGACAAAAGTTGTGGGCCTTAATGCCTGCAGAGTCACTGACACTAGAGCCAAGCCATTCATCATGAACATTAAAGTCGGTGACTTTAATGTTCATGATGAACATTAAAGTCACCGACAACTACAATATTGGCTGATGGATAAAGAATGAGGACTTGGTCAATATAATCAGAAATAACATCAAGAAGAGTGCAGTCTTGAGATGAGGGAGAGCGATATAGAACAAAGAGAAAGGTGATAGAGTGAAGTGATGCTAAACGAAAGCACATAAAAGAGTAGTCTGTGGATTCAAACCTAGTTTCCTGACAAATGGGTGAATTCTTACGAATGTAAATGCCCAGGCCAAGCATGTGACTATTGGAGTCTTTACGAATTAAAGGAAGATAACCATCAACACTAAGATCACAAGATGAAACAGTTGAACTCAAATTAGTCTCACAAAGACCAAGTAGGTCTGGTGAACTTTGCAAGAGGTAAGACTCAATAGAAGAAAAGTTACTTCGAAGACCACAAATATTTGTGAATGATAGGTTTAGCAAACTTGGTGATGACTGTGGTTTTTTGTGATTTGTAGTTTTTGTTACTTTATTCATTTTTAGATTTGTTAAAGAACTTGACTCGAAACATAGATAGTACTCAGTACACTGTTTTATAGCTCAAGCAATTTCCTCATTTCCACTAATAAACCCTAAGCCGTAACAAAGGGCTCCAATGTGGCCTTGGCAATGCACACCAAAAGTACAAACAGGGACACCATCCATACGCAACATGGCACTGTTAGTACTCTGATATTTTTCAGCTGTTGATGGAATCAGCCTCTCTGAGAGCTACCACAGAGTTCGAGAAACCTGACTACCAGCCGGCCTCAGAACCATAAAACTGAGTTTTAGAGCTGTACCCTCATTTGGAGATAATAGAATGAGTTGCCTAGTCATAAAAACAGAGACACAAGCAAAACCCATGAATCGAGTCAAGAAGATCCAGCATTCAACATCCTAAACTGGAAACAATGTATTAAAAATACATCTGCGCCAGCCTAATAGATGAGGAAGGGGTGCGAGGCTGGTCAACAGATAGAATCTGTTTACTAATATAAACTACATAAACAATATAAACTACATAAACAAATTAATACAAAAAAAAATAACAAAAAAACTTTTAAATGATAATTTTAAAATATCTGAATATATATATATATATATATATATATATATATATATATATATATATATATATATATATACATATATATATATATATATATATATATATATATATATATATATATATATATATATATATATATATATATATATATATATATATATATATATATATATATATATGCTACTACTTACTCAATGCTTTAGTTTTATGAACTTTATATGGGTCAAAACAACCCTTAAATGGCTTATGTTTTAGCAAGATCTTTTTATGATAAAAACATATAGAGCTATTGTAAAATTATGTCACATTTCCAAGCAAGCAGCTTTTTCATTCTTCAGCAAAACTTCAAATGACTTTTTACCAACCATTTGAATAAGCAAAGTTATATGACAATAGAGGTTTAGCAAAGCCTTATTATAACATTTTATTTGCTTATATTATCACTTCTTGTTTTTAAGTGTTTGTTATTATTTAATCTAAGCATTAAAATGTTAATTATTTCATTAATTACATTACAATAAAATACATTTCACTAATGAAATATATTTGCATCATATTCAATAGCTAAAAATAAAGATTACATCATTATCAAATAAAATGATACTCACTACTATTTCTAGTCACATTTTAAAATAATAAACTTTGAGTTTCTTTTTATGATTCTTAATTTCAAGAAAAATAAAAAAAAAAAACTTTTACTTCTAAATATTGACCTGTTTTAGAGATATTGGCTATAAAATAAGATAAAAATGGGATATTTTGAGCTTTAAAGTTATATTTTGATATTAACCCTTTCCTTACCAAATAAAATACAAAAAAACAATTGAATTTTTGAGTGGTATATCTTATCAAAAAAACTTTTTTAAAAGTCTTTTTTTAGTCTTAGTGAAATAGTGAAATAATTAAACACCGCATAGCGGGTGACTAGTATTGAAAGGGTTAAGTTTATTTTTTTTATTTCTTCTTCCTTATATTGATGGAGCATTCTTTAAAACTTACTGCATAAATGGAGAATTATTGGTCTATAAATGAGTTAGTCTATAATGAAATTTTTTTGAGGCTAGAAGATTACTTTGAAGAATCTAACTTCTATAATTTTAAACCACTATTGTAAAATTGATTAGAAATGAAGCCTACAACCAATATTTTTACAAAAAAAAACGTGATTTTCACTTTCCCTCATGTTCTCTTGTACTCCACCTTTATTCACATTAATATTATTAAAACACTATTTTTTCAAGTTTTTTTTTTTTTTTTTTCAAATCTTGAAATCCAAAATGACTGTAAAAATAAACTTTTTAATAATCTTTATTAAATAACTTTTTAATAAACTTTTTTTTTTTAAATTGAGGTAGATTACTACAATAATATTGATGAAAGTAACCAATTGGAATTCTTTAATTTTCCGTTGCTATAACTTGAGAATGCTTAGTGGTATTAAGTTAAAATTTCAAAGATTTTTCCCATTTAATCTATAGGTTTCATGTAACAAAATTGCAAAAACAAACTCCCATTTTCAGCTAAAGTTTGCCAGAATGAGAGGGTGCTTCCGCCCAAATTTTTTTCCTAGAATAGACCCTGTATATATACATATACATATATATATATACATATATATATATATATATATATATATATATATATATATATATATATATATATATATATATATATATATATATATATATATATATACACACACACACACTACTTTAGTTGTTTACTATAAGTGGACCCGTCTTAAATAGAAACTGATGAAATGGCTATTAACTAAACATGTTGTTTAACTAGTTTAGTTGTGTTTACAACTCTCTCTTAACTCTATAACTCTCGAACTTGAAACTTCTCGCTTATGAGGCAAGTACTCTACCACCACTACTGCATGTAAAAGTCCAAGAAAATGTAGCTCATTAAAAATGTACTCAGATTTAAAGTTGCCGCTTTACTTTTTTAACAGCTTTTTACTTTATCTAGTTTTTTTTAATTATAAAAAGAAAGATTAAAATATGAGTTGTAGCTGGTGCACATGTTTAATATTTTCATAACTTCACAAACAATAAAGAAAACTATAAGATAAAGTTGTAAAACAGGCGTTATATTTTATCAAATAATAAAATAGTAAAACTGAGATACAATTAAAAAATTTACTAATATTGATTTTACAAATCAATTTGGTTATTTTGTTTTAATTGTATTGAACTGATTGAATCAATATTGAATTAATCAATCTGTTGATTGGTTAAGCTTGTTGGTTATTTTGTTGTTGGTTATTTTGTTGCTGGTTATTTTGTTGTTGGTTATTTTGCTTGTTGGTTATTTTGCTTGTTGTTTATTTTGTTGTTGGTTATTCTGTTTTGTTATGTTGTTGGTTATACATAATTAGTAATGGTTATTTTGTTGATTTTGTTGATTGATTAAATCAGTATTGTCAATACTGCAATATTGACAATACTGATTTAAATCAATTAACAAAATCAATATTGATTAAATCAATATTGATTTAAATCAGTATTGTCAATATTGCAATATTGACAATACTGATTTAATCAATCAACAAAATCAATATTGATTAAATCAATATTGATTTAAATCAGTATTGTCAATATTGCAGTATTGACAATACTGATTTAATCAATCAACAAAATCAACAAAATAACCATTACTAATTATGTATAACCAACAACATAACAAAACAGAATAACCAACAACAAAATAAACAACAAGCAAAATAATTATGTTGACTATTATTTAATTTTAAATTATTCGAATTGTAATCAAATTAAATAATAATTGAATCATTTGATGAATATTGACTAAATAAATCAATGTTGTCAATATTGTCAATATTATTGATTCTAATAATTTTTACGACACAACTAGTTTAGTCTTTAAAACACCGTTTATTTTTAAAAATAGTTAAACTTCACGTAGGAACATTACATTCATGTGAAACATTACAGCAGGTAATTTTTAACGTTAAACACTTACTTACTTTGGAGGTGGACTTACTTTATAGGTATACTTGCATTAATGATGGTAATAATGGGCTACAGCAAGGCTTTGCCGGCTAATTAATCGGTTGCAATAACAAATAATTATTCGACTAGAACAATTAGTCTTTAAAACCGACTAATAACTTGTCGGTTGCAACAACGATATCATAATAATTGTTATCATACGGTTTATCAAACGGGCACTTATTTGCACCCTAATTCTAGGGGTAGAACATAAAACTTAAACCCATTATAACAATAAAACAGGCTTTTTAAAAACAAGCAACACTGAGAGAACAAAAAAATAACACTGAGAGTTTGTTCTTCATTAATAAAAACATTTCAATTTACTATAATTCGTATAGAACGGAAAGTTGGTTCAGACCACTGATCTCTATAATAACTGGATAGCGCATCTCTAATATCAAAATTGACGCCAAAATCGCCATATTGGAAAGCCCCAGAAAACTGAACGGAATTTGAAAATACAGAGATTGCGCTTGAAGATTTGTTATTGCTTTACTTACTACTTCTTTTACATTGACTAGATTAAAGTTGCATATTTCAATCATATTGTTATTTTTAAAATGTTTGAAAGTTTGAAAATTGAAAAAGTAAAAAAAAAAAAGCACGAACAAAATTAGAGTTGAATGGAAATAAAGAATATAGGAGAACAGACTGTTTAATAATTTGTATTTGTTTTGTATAAACTTGTTACCTTTATTAATCTTCTTATGTTCAATATGAAACTACTTTGCTGAAAGTCAAAATTAATATTTACTCTGGTTACTTTAGAATGTTTATTGTTACAACTTGATGCAATCTTACTTTATAATAGCAGTGAGAAAGTAACTTTATAAGTGTAAAACATAACAAAAAAATATTGTATCAAAGATTTTTTAAATGGTTTTAAATTTTCATAGTTTTTAAAAACTCAGGATATGTTGGTTTCTTTCGCAACTGCAAAAGTAATATCATCGACTTTCATATAGTAGATTGAAATTGATAATCATACACTACCAAGTTTTATTTCTGCTGCGTCACAAACTTTTATCCCACTTATAAAAAGTATGAAAAGCTTTAACTTATATAACTACTAAGTTTATATGTTGTTACTAAGTTCTTTTTCTGCTATTTTGGTGACATACGTTACAAGATATTTAAGCGTTTATTGTTTTTCATCAATCAAAGTATGAAAGATATAGAGACACATGTAGTTTTATGAAAGTAATTATTATTTCAACTTACATTTATCAGTTGTATCCTGATAATTAATGGTTGAATAATAATAAATCTTGTAAAATATTGTACTCAAAAACAAAAGAGAAAATAAAAGAAATACAGGTATAATTATTGTTTAATTTTTTAAATTATGTTAGGTTATTCTAGAGCATTTTGCAAGTACAGAGTGCTCAATGTTATTAAGAACAGCAATAATAAAATAGTTAAAACACTTATCTAATTTTTGTCTTCAACATCAAAAACTCATCTAACCAAGAAAAAAGATTTCTTACTGGTTAGATGAGTTTTTTTACTAATATATATATATATATATATATATATATATATATATATATATATATATATATATATATATATATATATATATATATATATATATATATATATATATATAAATATATATATATATATATATATATATATATATATATATATATATATATATATATATAAAAAAAAAAGCACGAACAAAATTAGAGTTGAATGGAAATAAAGAATATAGGAGAACAGACTGTTTAATAATTTGTATTTGTTTTGTATAAACTTGTTACCTTTATTAATCTTCTTATGTTCAATATGAAACTACTTTGCTGAAAGTCAAAATTAATATTTACTCTGGTTACTTTAGAATGTTTATTGTTACAACTTGATGCAATCTTACTTTATAATTATATATATACTATTATTATTATTATTATTATTATTATTATTATTATTATTATTATTATTATTATTATTATTATTATAAATATATTTTAGACAACAGGCAGATACAATTTAGGTGCCAGGTCCATAGTTTTTACAAGAAAAATATTTTTTTAAACTTTGATTAAGAGAACACATGGAATTATTTACTAAGAAACAAGCCATCAACTTTTTACAAGAAGCATGTCTGTAGTTCGAGATAATTGTATAAAGAGATGGTAATCTGTACTCTAAAAGCATGAGATCATACTTGTTGTAGCCAAAAAACATTTTAGCACATTTGTTGTAGCAATAATGAAGGCGTGCCATTGTTTTATCATTATAATTTTGCTGCAGAGGAGCAGCATATAAACAAATGTAATATGATTTAAACAATTTGACCTTTACTCTGGTAGAGCATAAATGAAAGTGTCTAGTTAAAATATTTGTACATGTGTAAAGACCCTTCATCTCCTTGGTTATATCAAGATCATCAGTTAGGTCATTTTTAATTATATGGCCAAGTTATTTAAAAGATTCAACAAAAACAATTTTACAGCCTGATATGCATAATTCTGGGAAGGAGTTTGATATAATTTTTGAGTTGGGTTAAACACCATACATACAGTTTTCTTTGTGTTAAAGAATATGTTAATTAAGGAAGATTCCTTATTTGTAAAGCTAATTAGTTTTTGAAGAGAATACCAAGATGGTGCAATTAAAACCATATCATCAGCATAAGCCACCTATATTACATCCAATATGTAGTTTTGAGATTAATAAAATCATATTCTGTATGTAAAAGTTAAATAGAAGTGGGGACAACTCTAAAACTATTTGATTTTGTTTTTTGCCATCGAACAAACATTTGTTGATTACTATACCAAAATGTAAGCAAACTAACAAGTTTTTTGGGTAACCCATTATCTAGTAATTTCTGAAACAACAGCCAGTAATTGTTTTATTAAAATGTTTTATTAAAGTGTATATATATATATATATATATATATATATATATATATATATATATATATATATATGAATATATATATATATATATATATATATATATATATATATTTTTTTTTTTTTTTTTTTTTTTTTTTTAACATTTTCACTTCCAACAAGGCTGCAAGCAACCACTATAAGAGTTGGAAGTTACTGGAAGAGAAAAGACTAAATCTGTAGAGCAAGATAACGATTGACTGATGACTTAAAAGATTGCAAATTATATGAATCAGGAAAGCAAGATGAAGGAAGCGAATTTCAAAGAACTGATGTTCGAGGAAAAAAACTAGAAGAATAAGAGTTTTTGAAGCACTTAGGAACAGTCACAGAAAAAGGATGAGACTTAATTGAATGGCGAGTAACACAAGAATGAATTTTAGTAGATGGCACAAGGGACGCTAGCTCTTTAGAGCAGTGCCCATTATAGTATTTGTAGAAAAGAGAAAGAGAAGCAACATTACGACGATGTGACAAAGGTTGGAGATTGGCTGCCAGAGCAGGTCCAACTATGTTTACAATTCGTTTTTGCACCTTGTCTAAAAGAGAAAGAGCATCATTAGAAGATCCGCCCCAGATGTGGCAACAGTATTCCATACAGGGACGGATTTGAGATTTATAGAGATAGAGAATAGAATCTGGAGTAAGAAAGTGTCGAGCTCGATAAAGAGATGCAACCTTAGCAGATGCTAATTTTGCAATGGATTTGATATACGGTTTGAAAGAAAGATCAGAAGTAAGAGTTAATCCTAGAAGATGAATGGTAGATGACTCATCTAGTACATTACCATTCATAAATATAGGAAGATCTAAATTATTACGATAACGATTGGCCGAATAAAATTGAGTTTTATCTGAATTAAAGTTCACCAGCCACTGTGAGCCCCATGCTGTAGCAGAAGTGAGATCCTTTTCAAGCTCAGATACCCCCTCCAAGCAATCAGAGAGTGTAGGCTTCTTATCATGACAAGAGTAAATGGTAGTGTCGTCAGCGAATAATGCCACCTTAGATGTGAGAATATCTGGAAGATCGTTAATGTAAATTAAAAAGAGTATAGGGCCAAGGATTGAACCTTGAGGAACCCCTGAAGTTACAGGATGTGAAGAAGAGTGTTGTCCATCGAGGACAACTTTTATACTACGATTGGAAAGAAAGGACTCAATAATCTTAAAGACGTTACCAGCTACACCATAAGAAGAAAGCTTATGGAGAAGACCAGCATGCCAAACTTTATCAAAAGCTTTAGAAATGTCAAGTGCGATAGCCTTAACCTCTCCACCTCTATCTAATGCACGGTAAAACCTATCGGTTATTACTGTTAGCAGATCAGCTGTAGAACGAGAAGACCGAAATCCATATTGATGGTCAGAAAGTAAGTTATTTGATTCAAGATGAGAGATTAAGTGTTTGTTAATTAAAGATTCAAAAACCTTGCTTATGACAGGAAGAAGACTAATGGGACGGTAGTTAGATGAATCAGATCGCTCTCCGGAATTTTTGAAAATAGGGATAACAGATGCTGCTTTCCAGCATGATGGAAAACAAGACTCTGATAAGCACTTGTTAAATAGTTTTGAAAGTATGGATGAAAGCTCCGGAGAACACCTCTGCAAGACTACAACAGGAATGTTGTCAGGACCACAAGCTGTTGAAGAGTCTAAGCAGGAAATTACTTTAGATACAGAAGCTGAAGTGATGCGAATGTCAAGCAAGGGATCAACCTGTTTGACGGCTATGTCAGGTAAAACGCAACTAGTGGAATCAAGAGATGATATTGATGAAAAGTTCTTAGCAAACAATTCAGCTTTGTCTTTAGGTGAGGTGACAAAGTCTGAACCATACAAGAGAGAAGGAATAACAGATTTGCCCTTATTATTGATACTGTTAAAGATTCTCCAGAAGTCTCGAGAGCCTAATTTTTGTGATGAGATACGAGATTTAATGACCTGGGAATAGCGAGCTTTGGCGTCAGACAAAACCTTTTTACAACGGTTTCTGGCGATAGTGAACAGATGTCTGTTTTCTGGAGAATTGTTTTGCTGATAGATATGGAAGTAACGGTTTCGATTAGAAATTGCTGCAGCGCAAAGTGAGGAAAACCAAGGAGAAGAGTGAGGCTTGACCTGGAATCGTCGAGAGGGAATAAAAGATTCCATGCCAGCCTGAATCCACGAAGTTATGTAAGAAGCACATTTGTCAGCAGGAAGACGAAAGATTTCTACCCAAGGGCCATCACGAAGAAAATCACGGAAAGAGTCCCAGTCAGCTTTAAGGTAGTTGTATATGGTACGATGATAGGGGGATTCTGATGAAGTAGAAGAATTTGATAATAGTTTTAGAGAGATCAAACCGTGATCAGAAGTACCTAAGGGTGAATGTGGAGAAATTGAGCACTGACTAGGATCCAAAACAAGACATAAGTCGAGTAGAGAAGGTAAATGATTAGGGTTGTCTGGAAAACGAGTTGGAAAGTTGACTATTTGAGTTAGAGATTGAGAAAGGCAAAAGTTGAGGGCCTTAACGCCAGCAGAGTCACTGACACTAGAGCCAAGCCAATCGGTGTGATGGGCATTAAAGTCACTAACAACGACGATATTGGCCGATGGATAAAGAGAGAGGGCTTGGTCAATTTGATCAGAAATAACATCAAGAATAGTACAATCTTGGGATGAAGGAGAGCGATATAGAACAAAGAGAAAGGCGATAGAGTGAAGTTGTGCTAAACGAAAGCACATAAATGAATAGTCTGTAGATTCAAACCTAGTTTCACGACAAATGGGTGAGTTCTTACGAATGTAGATGCCCAGGCCAAGCATGTGATTATTGGAAAAAAAAAAAAAAAAAAAAAAAAAAATATATATGCGTTTACTTATTTTATTATTAGTTTTGGTTTAAATTTTAGAATTTGAGTTGAATGATAGAAATATTGGAAAATGATCATTTATATCTGCTTTCAATATACCTTTTTGTATATTGTTATTGAAGACATCAGTTGTAATAATGTTATCAATGAGAGTTGCTGAGTTTGCTGATACTCTAGTTGGACGATTAATTAAAGGAATTGCTCCTATTTCAAATATTAAATCATAAAAATTTTTTATTTTACAGTCATTCTCGTAGTTTAAAAAATTCATGTTTAGATCGCCAATAATAATTTTTTTTTTCTTTAATGCCTATTTTATATATTTATTTTATATATTTATATATATATATATATATATATATATATATTATATATATATATATATATATATATATACACTTTAATAAAACATTTTAATAAAACAATTACTATTTTGAGATTAATAAAATCATATTCTGTATGTAAAAGTTTTTTGCCATCGAACAAACAGAATATGATTTTATTAATCTCAAAATAGTAATTGTATATATATATATATATATATATATATATATAAACAATTACTATTTACTGTCTAAGAAACCTTCGGGTTGAGTTACACTAACATAGCCCAACTAA